CCATTTGACATGAGGCATCCCAGAAGAATCTGGCTGCCAATGCCGGTCAGCAGTGGTATGAGATTGAGCATCAACAGTCAAAAAATTTTAAATGTATAAAAGACAAATGGCCTCTGGGGCTGGAACCATATTCCCCCTTTTTTGTTTTATGCAAATAGGCTTTGAGGGTACAATGTACTTGCTCCACTGTAGCTTGTCCTTGAAGATTATAGGGTATTCCCGTCTTATGAGAAATTGAGAACTCAGAGCAAAATTTAGTAAAGCCAGTGCTGGGATTAAAGGCCTGTACCACTACATCAGGCTTTTTCCCTGGGCTGATTAACTGTCCCTTTTCCTGCAGGGTAGTTCCTTTTGATGTGTCCTGACCTTCCACATTGAAAACAATTCCTTGATCTAGCTCCACCTTGACCCTCCCTAAGGGCAGAAACAATTACCTGACCCATCACATGAGTGCCATCAATGTCCCTGCATAACTGGATAAAGTCATTTAAATTACCATTTCTATGGGGGAATATAGCCTCTTGACAGTATGTTAGCCTTTTTCTAGGCCAATTGCTTTGTGACTGGCATAGCTGAGTCCACATCCCCAAAAATGCGACTTCCCAACCAGTCAACAAACTCAGAGTAAGGTTCTGAAGACCTTTGGAGGATCTTAGAAAGCTGTTCTCCTGCTCCTTTGTTAGGTAAAGCTTTCTATGCTTTACCACAGCTCAGCATAAACAGCAAGATGGTAAGTGATCTGTGCTGCTAAACCCAGGCACCTTCCTACACCAGCCAACATGCCAAGGTCATGCTGAAGGGAAACCTATTACAATCCTCCTACATTTTACCTCTCCACAACAATCTCCTCCCAAAAGACAGACTCTTCAAAGCTGCCTTCCTTCTTTCACTAATTTATCAGTACAATCTCCTTTTCCAAAGTTTGTTCTTTCTCTTCTATACTCTTTTTAGTACTCTTAACTTCCTGCTCTTCAAAACTCTTAATATAACTCATAGATTCTACATCCTGAATCTCTTCAAAGGTTTTGTTTAACGATCCCTTGTGCCGTCTCAACTTTAATACCGGTGCCTTGTTTCTCCAAAAGAACTAACAACTGGCCTGTTAACAGACCCCTTAACACTGGAACAGAATTACTTGCACCCATTAACAATACACCCTCACCACTCAATTTCTTACCTGCTGGCCAGCCTTTCTAGGGTGACCTCTCAGGGATCCCTACTTCCCCATCTCATAGATGGGTCTCCGACTGTAGTTGCTGATGATCCCATTGGGGCCTCCAATTGTAACACCTGATTCTGTTAACCCTTCGGTTCAGTTTATGTGCCACTGTACAGTACTCGAGTTGGGCAAGGGCCTGGAGAGTGAAAGAACACACAAAGAGACCTGGGTCATTCAAAAGGAAATCAGCTGAATGCCATTTATTCAACCTTGGGGAAATCCTAATATATCTCACTGCTGTACAAGGATTTCCTCCCAGGCAGGTGGGAAATTACCACACCAAAGATAGAGTCAACAATGCCCTACAGCTAATCACCAGGCAAGGCAGAGAGACCACAGGAACAAACAGAATGTTTTAGCTGGCTGACCAGAAACTGTCCTCAAGATGAACCCTAAGAACAAGGGTAGACCCGGGTCCTACAGCCATCAAGTCTAAGTTGTAATCCATAGAAATGTAAACATCTACAAATGAGTATGTGCATTGGGTTTTTAACATGGATCAGTGGAGGATACCAAGAAAATTAGACAAAACTCTATATTTGAACTGCCTACATAGGGGATTTTTCAGAATAAGGAAGGAAGAAGTCTCTCATAACAGGAATTATATGGCAACTGAAATATAGATCTGCTGCGGTCAGCAGAAAAATTGAGGAATGAAACCTAATTCCTCTCTTCTACACCAAGGGTGCACAAAAGAGATAAATAAGTTCCTGACTGACCGGTTTTATGAAACACCAATGACATGCTAATTCTGAGTGATATGTCAGTGAATATAAAGAACTGCGAGATCTCAGAAGATGGTCAACAATGATTAGGGAGCTGGGCATATGACACAGAGCTTTTGTTCACTGAGTAGAATAAGACTGTGTTCACTATTGAGGGAGGAATCAAATTATGTGACCTCAGCACTAATATTGGACTCTACATCTTTGTTGAAGAGAAATGATCAGGCAAGAAAGGCTGTAGACTTTGAGTGATACATATTGATATACACACAATAAAAATAAATATTTGAAAATTATTTTGCAATTATATATATATAACTCTTAACAAAATAAAATTAAGTGAATAAATCCAGTCAAGATATTAAAAATATTTGATTTCATAGTTTTACCACATTGCAACTTTGTGTGTAGAATTCTATGTCTGCGATGAAAAACACCCAAATATAGATTTGGTGGAGTATTCTCTCAAATCTGAGCACAAAGGTTGCATCAGCCTATGGTGAACAGTGGTCATTGTTTCCTTTCATTATTTCACTACACTGAACATAGTGAGAGATCAAAAAATCATATAAATATAATGCTAAGTTTTTAAAATAAAAATAATAAATTTTTAGTCTCAGTAAAGTGGAGATAGTAGGTTTAGGAAACACACTATTTTATACTATGGGCAATGGATGCTGTAAATAATTAATAATAAGCATAGCCAAATTATCTGGATTCACGTCAACAAAGATTGTGAGCCACCCTGTGGCTCAATTCTCAAGCACATGGTCCACATATTTCTTGGTCACTGTCATTCAAAGAGTCTCAATGGTGACAGCAGCACTTAGGATAAAACATCTTGTCAATAATTGAAATTCTTTCCATCCTCACAGACGAGGTTGGATAGGTTCACTGGCTGTACATTTGAACTGTTTTAATGAAATGATTCACCTTATTCTTCATGTCTTGATCTATTTTGAAGTATTATTAAAGGTTAACTTACTATGGCTTCATGCCCAAAGTAAACATTAAATTGGAAACAGAAGAAAACCACAAGTCTGGGAAGATGTAGGATGTGCATATGTTTCTGGTTTAAAAGAAATATTCCTACGTGATACTGCATTTCTCATATGTTTATAGAGACAGTGGTAACTTTGTATTGAATAGACAGTGGAAAAATAACAGCTTTGAAAGCTCTTCCTTTTCAAACTGGAAAAGCAACATGGAATGGAAGGTAGAGTATAACTATTGGGCAGTGACAAGCAGAACCTTATGTGTCCTGAGCTATCACTCCACGATTGCTTTTACTATAATGAATTGGAGAATCAGACAGCATGCCTTCCCTCACTGTTTATCATTGTTGCTAATAGAACACAGGGCCTTGTGCTTTGCAGGCCTGGGATGAAACACTCAGCTGCTTTATATCTACACTAGTGCTGTATTCCCTTCGACAATTTTTAAGGTTTCACATTATTCTGATTATTCTTTATAATCTTACAATACCACATCTATTTTAATGCAACATGGGTGTCATTATAATAGATAAATGACTATAAGAATTATCAAATACACTAGTTGTGGTGTTATATACCTTTAATCTCATCATTTGAGAGGCAGAGGTATGCAGTTCTCTTTTAGTTTGAGGTCTACATGGTCTATATAACGAGTTCCAGGATAAACAGAGTAACATTGAAAGACCCTACAGACCCCCTCCTCAAAACCCGCAGCTAGCATGCTCCCGGGGGAACGTCCTGTTTGTTTTAAACAAATCTCCGGATCAGCAGCCAGCCTGCTCCCATTAGAACATCCCAGGTGCCTGAGAGAACAGGAGATAGAGATAGGAAGACTGCAAGGCAAGATGTCAATAAGATAGGATGTCAACAAAGCAGGTTAGCTATAAGATAGGAACAGGATGATTGTTGCCAGGCATCCATGCTGAGAGTGGAAATCTTTCATGCCCTCCGCCGCATTTCGATAACCACGCTTTTGCTTCTGTTAACTTGCTTTTTGCTCTTCCCTATAAAAAGCCCGCCCTCCAGTTGGCAGGTGCACAAATCTTCTGAGAGATCTTGCTGCCCACAGGTACCTGTGTCTACTCAATAAACCTCTTGCGATTTGCAGCCGTGCGGTCTCGGCCTGTTCCTTGGCATTGGGGAGGTCTCCTCCCGAAAAGAGGTCCTCGTCAAGGGTCTTTCATTTGGTGCATTGGCCAGGAATTGAGACCCCCCACCAAGGGATCACCGACTCACCAACGGGAGGTAAGCTGGCCAGCTCTGTTAGTTGTCTTCTGTGTTCTTTGTTCAGTTGTCTTCTGTGTTCTTTGTCGAATTCTGTACACTCAGGTCTGAGTGCGCTGTACCTGGCAGAGGGAAGGGGGCTGACGAGCCTGGTACTTCTCCCCCCGCAGTCCGTGGAAGACGTTCCATGGACATCAGAGTCAGTCCGCAAGGACTTCTGGAGCCCGATTCTTCGGAGCTCAGCCCGTATCCGAAGGATACGTGGTCCTAGTTGGAGGAGAGGGATCCGGACCCTCAGAGCCTCCGTCTGAGTTTTGCTGCACTGCGCATCTGTTCTGTCTGTCTGTTCTGTCAGCATCTGTTCTGTCTCTGTCTGTTCTGTCAGCATCTGTTCTGTCTGTCTGTCCTGTCAGCATCTGTTCTGTCTCTGTCTGTTCTGTCAGCATCTGTTCTGTCTGTCTGTTCTGTCAGCATCTGTTCTGTCTCTGTCTGTTCTGTCAGCATCTGTTCTGTCTCTGTCTGTTCTGTCAGCATCTGTTCTGTCTCTGTCTGTTCTGTCAGCATCTGTTCTGTCTCTGTCTGTTCTGTCAGCATCTGTTCTGTCTCTGTCTGTTCTGTCAGCATCTGTTCTGTCTCTGTCTGTTCTGTCAGCATCTGTTCTGTCTCTGTCTGTTCTGTCAGCGTCTGTTCTGTCTCTGTCTGTTCTGTCAGCATCTGTTCTGTCTCTGTCTGTTCTGTCAGCATCTGTTCTGTCTCTGTCTTTGTGTGTGTTTTTTTTGTTTGTTTGTTTTGTTTTGTTTTTTTGTTTTTATATTTGGTTCCCTTCTCTTCGAGAAGATGGGACAAACCCTAACCACCCCATTGAGCCTTACTTTAGACCACTGGCCTGACGTCCGCACCCGAGCCGACAACCTGTCAGTCGATGTTCGAAAGAAGAAATGGGTGATCTTTTGTTCGTCCAAGTGGCCTACTGTTGAATCAGAATGGCCAAGAGACGGCACTTTCAATCTCAATATTATTTCCCAGGTTAAGGTAAAAGTGTTCAGCCCAGGACCACATGGACACCCGGACCAACGCGCCTACATTGTTACCTGGGAAAGTTTGGCACGTGACCCGCCCCTATGGGTCCAGCCCTTTGTCATCTCTAACAACATCTCTAACAAACCCCAACCTCCTCTTACCCCTACAGCCCCTAAGGCTCCCCCTCCCCAGGAGAGCCAACCACTTGTGCCTCTTCCTCCTGCACCTTCCCTTGCCCCACCCTCTTCTTCCCTATACCCCACCATTCTTAAGGAGAAGGTTCCCAAAGAAAAACCTCTGAAACCTACCCCTGCGCCCCCTCCCGTCCTTCCTCCGAACCCTGACTCTCCCCTCACTGACCTTCTATCAGAAGAACCCCCTCCTTATGCAGATCCAGAGGATCCAGAGAGTCCGGATGGGCCAGAGACTGCAGCGGCGGGTGGACAGCCAGCACAAGTCTCCCCAGCCCCTTCACCCATGGCGGGAAGACTCCGGGGAAGGCGGAAACCACCCCCTGATTCCACTACTCATGCCCTACCCTTGAGAGAGGGCCCAAACGGCCGACAGCAATACTGGCCATTCTCTGCCTCAGATCTATACTATTGGAAACACCATAACCCCCCATTCTCCAAAGATCCAATAACGCTGACTAACCTGATTGAGTCTATTTTAGTCACCCACCAGCCCACTTGGGATGATTGCCAGCAACTCTTACAAACCCTGCTGACCTCGGAGGAAAAGCAAAGAGTCTTTTTGGAGGCTCGGAAAAACGTCCCAGGCGACAACGGGAGCCCAACCCTTTTGCCTAACGAAATTGACGAGGCCTTCCCTCTGACGCGACCTGACTGGGATTTCACTACAGCTGCAGGTAGGGGACACCTACGCCTCTATCGCCAGTTGCTAATCGTGGGTCTCTGAGGGGCAGCACGCCGCCCCACCAATTTGGCCCAGGTTAAGCAAGTAATACAGGGAAATGAAGAGACGCCCTCAGCCTTCTTAGAAAGGCTCAAGGACGCTTATAGGATGTATACCCCCTATGACCCTGAAGATCCAGGGCAAGCTACAAGTGTATCCATGTCTTTCATCTGGCAGTCTAGTCTGGATATTAGAAGCAAATTGCAGAGGCTTGAGGGTCTCCAGGGATATACTATACAAGACTTACTAAAAGAGGCAGAGAAGATTTTCAATAAGAGAGAGACTCCAAAAGAAAAAGAGGAAAGATTATGGCAGAGAATGAAAGATCGGGAGGATGAAAGAGACAAGAGGAGAAACAAGGAATTAACTAGGGTGTTGGCCACCGTGGTTCAGGGACAGAATAGAGAGGGAGACAGGCAGGGAGAACGACGTAGGGCCAAGGTGGACAGAGACCAATGCACCTATTGTAAAGAACGAGGACACTGGATTAAGGATTGCCCCAGGAGGAATAAAGGACCTAGAAAGCCCAGGCCCCGAACCTCCCTCCTCACCTTAGAGGATTAGGGAACTCAGGGCCAGGAGCCCCCCCCCCACCCTGAGCCCAGGATAACTCTTGATGTCGGGGGGCAACCAGTCACCTTCCTAGTAGACACCGGGGCCCAGCATTCAGTCCTGACTCAGACTTCAGGGCCACTCAGCGAATGATCTGCTTGGGTCCAAGGAGCCACTGGTGGCAAGAGATATCGATGGACAACTAATCGGAAGGTTCAGCTGGCTACTGGTAAGGTGACGCATTCCTTTCTGCATGTTCCGGACTGTCCCTATCCCTTGTTGGGTAGAGACCTCCTCACCAAGCTAAGGGCCCAAATTCATTTTGAGGACACAGGGGCTAAGATAACGGGCCCAGATGGAGGTCCCCTCCAAATTTTGACCCTCCAGCTGGAGGATGAATATAGACTTTACGAGCCCCCGGGGCAACAGACAATTGACATGGCCCCTTGGCTCAATGACTTTCCATTGGCATGGGCAGAGACTGGGGGAATGGAGATGGCTATACAACAACCTCCACTCATCATTCAATTGAAGGCAACAGCTACTCCTGTTTCAATCAAGCAGTACCCCATGTCCCATGAAGAATATCATGGCATAAGGCCCTCCTACAGACATTGGGACAAGCAGGCTATCGGGCATCAGCCAGAAAGGCTCAGATATGCCAGAAGCAAGTCATTTACCTAGGTTATCAATTAAAAGATGGACAGAGATGGCTGACCGAGGCGTGCAAACAGACCATCACTAACATTCCTGCCCCCCGGAACCCCCGCCAGCTAAGAGAGTTCCTGGGAACAGCGGGATACTGCCGCCTCTGGATCCCAGGGTTTGCAGAGCTGGCTGCACCCTTGTATCCATTAACTAAACAAGGAACAATGTTTGATTGGGGGGAGGACCAACAGAGGGCTTTCGAAAACATTAAGAAAGCCTTGTTAGCCTCCCCTGCTCTAGGCCTCCCTGACATTACCAAGTCTTTTGATTTGTTCGTGGATGAAAAGCAGGGTTACACTAAAGGGGTCCTAACTCAAAAACTGGGCCCTTGGAGGTGTCCTGTAGCTTACCTCTCAAAGAAACTCGACCCAGTAGCTTCAGGGTGCCTGCCCTGTCTGCGAATGGTAGCAGCTATTGCAGTCCTCACCAAGGACGCGGGTAAACTGACTCTGGGCCAGCCATTGACTATCCTGGCGCCCCATGCGGTGGAGGCTCTGGTCAAACAGCCTCCAGACAGCTGGCTCTCCAATGCTCCCATGACTCATTACCAAGCAATGCTCCTGGATATGGACTGGGTGCACCTTGCTCCCCCTGCCGGAGGAAGCCCAACACCATGACTGCCTCCAGATCCTTGCGGAAATACACGGGACCAGGCCGGACCTGATGGATCAACCCCTCCGAGATGCTGACTATACTTGGTATACGGATGGCAGCAGTTTCCTGGCAAATGGGGAACGAAGAGCGGGGCGGCAGTGACAACGGAGACTGAGGTAATTTGGGCAGAAGCCCTTCCCACAGGCACCTCCGCCCAGAGGGCTGAACTCATCGCTCTGACCCAGGTACTCCAGATGGCAGAAGGTAAGAGGCTAAATGTTTATACGGATAGCCGATATGCCTTCGCCATGGCTCACATACATGGGGAAATTTATTGAAGACGTGGGCTGCTGACCTCAGAAGGAAAGGAAATTAAGAACAAACTTGAAATACTGGCACTCCTAAAGGCCTTATTTTTGCCCCAAAAATTAAGTATTATGCACTGCCCTGGGCATCAAAAAGGCCATAGCCCTGAGGCAAAGGGAAATAGACTGGCAGATGACACTGCTCAAAAGATTGCTATGAAATCAACCAAGACCTTCCAAGCTTTCCCCTTGATGAACCCGAAAGAGGCCCCAGCCTCCAGTTCGCTACCCTATAGTACAGAGGACATTGATCTCCTAAAGAAAATGGGGGCCACATATGACCCCAAAAAGCAACATTGGGTTTTTAAGGAAAAGATTGTTATGCCAACAAAACATACTTATAAAATAATAAACTACTTACATAAATTGACCCATTTGGGGCCAAAGAAGATGAAGACCTTGTTGGACAGACAGGAGTCAGGCCAACACCTCCTGAACAGGGATGAAGCTCTGCAAAAAGTGACTGATGAATGCCAAGCCTGCGCTCAGGTAAACGCAGGCAGAACCAAGCTTGGTCCAGGAGTTAGGGTACGGGGACATCGTCCCGGAGTACATTGGGAGATCGACTTTACAGAGGTTAAGCCAGGTCTCTATGGGTACAGATACCTCTTGGTGTTCAAAGACACTTTTTCAGGATGGGTGGAAGCCTTTCCCACCAAACACGAAACCGCAAAGGTGGTGACCAAAAAGCTCTTGGAAGAAATCTTTACCAGGAACGGAATGCCTCAAGTCTTAGGCACCGATAATGGCCCTTCCTTCGTCTCCCAGGTAAGTCAGTTGGTGGCCAAACTCCTAGGGGTCGAATGGAAATTACATTGTGCATATAGACCCCAAAGTTCAGGGCAGGTAGAACGCATGAATAGAACAATTAAGGAGACCTTATCCAAATTAACGCTTGCAACTGGCACTAGAGACTGGGTACTCCTCTTACCACTGACCCTGTACAGAGCCCGCAACACTCCAGGGCCTCATGGACAGACACCTTTTGAAATTCTATATGGAGCTCCTCCCCCATTTATAAATTTCTTTGATTCAAACATTGCCGATTTTGCTGACAGTTCTTCTCTGGAAGCCCATTTACAGGTGTTACAGATTGTGCAAAGAGAGGTCTGGAAGCCACTCGCCGCTGCTTACCGAGACGAACTGAACCAGCCGGTGGTACCGCATCCCTTCCAGATAGGAGATACTGTTTGGGTCCGCAGACACCAGACCAAAAACTTGGAACCTCGGTGGAAAGGCCCTTACACTGTACTTCTGACCACTCCAACGGCACTGAAGGTTGACGGCATTGCAGCCTGGATCCATGCCTCGCACATTAAGGCCGCCCATACAGCTGAGAAAGCAGAGCCCGCTGCGACCCCAGCATGGAGAATCCAACGCACTCAAAACCCCTTAAAGATAAGGCTTACCCGTGGGGCCCTTTGACTATTATATGGGCCCTACTAAGACTGGGGATGGCGACACAAGAAAATAGCCTGCACCAGGTTTTCAATGCACCCACCAGCTACACTTCCATCCCCCAGCATAAGCTGACCCTGTCTAAAGTATCTGGACAGGGATTTTGCATAGGGACTATTCCCAAAACCCACCAGGCCTTATGTACCTAGCTGCCTCCAACAGGACCCATTGGGCATGCAGTACTGGATTAACCCCATGCGTTTCAGTTGCTGTGCTCAGTGAAACCTCTGATTATTGCGTTCTAATTGAATTATGGCCCAAAGTTACATACCATGATCCTGAATACATCTATAGTCATTTTGAAGGGAGACCCCGATTTAGGAGAGAACCAGCCTCCCTAACTTTGGCCTTATTGCTGGGAGGCATCACTATGGGGGGAATAGCGGCAGGGGTGGGCACAGGGACCACCGCTCTTATGGAGACCAGCCAATTTAGACAACTTCAGGCAGCCACGCATACTGATATCAAGGCACTGGAAGAATCGGTTAGCACACTCGAAAAGTCCTTAACCTCCCTCTCAGAGGTAGTCCTACAAAACAGGAGGGGGCTAGACTGGTTGTTTTTGCGAGAGGGAAGGTTATGTGCGGCGCTCAAAGAGGAATGCTGCTTCTATGCGGACCACACTGGGCTGGTGAGAGACAATATGACAAAGCTTAGAGAGAGGTTAAGACAGAGACAAAAGCTGTTCGAATCACAACAAGGATGGTTCGAAGGATGGTTCAATAAGTCTCCCTGGTTTACAACTCTATTGTCTTCTTTGATGGGTCCCTTGATTATCCTCCTTCTGATACTCCTGTTTGGGCCTTGCATCTTAAACCGCCTGATCCAGTTTATAAAAGACAGGCTGTCAGTCATTCAGGCCCTAGTACTGACCCATCAGTATCACATGTTACCACAACAAGATACTGAGGTTCTGTAATTGCTTTGAGTAAAAGATTTAACTCATTAACAAAAAGAAAAAGGGGGAAATGAAAGACCCTACAGACCCCCTCCTCAAAACCCGCAGCTAGCATGCTCCCGGGGGAACGTCCTGTTTGTTTTAAACAAATCTCCGGATCAGCAGCCAGCCTGCTCCCATTAGAATATCCCAGGTGCCTGAGAGAACAGGAGATAGAGATAGGAAGACTGCAAGGCAAGATGTCAATAAGATAGGGTGTCAACAAAGCAGGTTAGCTATAAGATAGGAACAGAATGATTGTTGCCAGGCATCCATACTGAGAGAGGAAACCTTTCATGCCCTCCGCCGCATTTCGATAACCACGCTTTTGCTTCTGTAAACTTGCTTTTTGCTCTTCCCTATAAAAAGCCCGCCCTCCAGTTGGCAGGTGCGCAAATCTTCCGAGAGATCTTGCTGCCCACAGGTACCTGTGTCTACTCAATAAACCTCTTGCGATTTGCATCCGTGCGGTCTCGGCCTGTTCCTTGGCGTTGGGGAGGTCTCCTCCCGAAAAGAGGTCCTCGTCGAGGGTCTTTCAACATAATGGTACTGTGACTTTAAAAAAAACAGCTGCAAATTATTTGCAAATACATGCAAAAATTTAAGTCAATCATTTTATTCACTTAATGCTATTCTCATGCTCTTATTTGCTAATCACCTGCTAGGATTTCATGTCACATTTCTACCAAGTAGTAGTGTTAGTAATCCATTTGCAGTTACCACTATATGCTTTATCTCGGCTATAAGCAGTGAATATATCTGAAAGGATCATAAATACCATGTTTATCATGTACTTGTAAAATTAAACTGGGATAAACTTTCTGGCATGTCAAACCTTATAGAACACAGCATTTTACTACACTCTTGAAAGCTTTATTTGCGCTTATCATTGCCCTGTGGAGTGAACGTTCATGTGGAAATAAATCATTATTTATATAAAGATGTGTTTATTGCATACTGTAATTTGTGAGAATGAATGTTTTCCTGAGTATGTAAGTTTGTACCATGGGAATTCAGTGCCTGCAGTTCCCATAAGAGAATGTCAAAACTCTCTGGAACTGGAGTTGCAGAAAACTGTGAGCCACCATGTAGGTGCTGGGTATCAAACTCAGGTCATCAGTAAAATTGGCACATGTTCTTTACCACTAAGATATCTTGAGAGTCCTCTCAAATGAAAATTTACAGCAGAAAGCAGACAGCGAAATATCAACAAAGTGAAAAATGTCAGGTGGGGAACACAAACCACATACAAGAAATAAATGTGATTAAGAACATCTGTTATTGCTTTGTGATCACACACTAAGATGGCATGGTCATGACCTTCCTATATTTATTTTATCTCAAAACAGCTTTTTTGAATTTAAAGAGTCATGTATCCTCAGTGTTGCGAAGTTCAGATAATGACACTGTCCAGAGGTTACAGTTATAATGAAGGAATAGAATGAAACAAACAATAGACCAGTGACTCATCAAGTGTCTGTATTATCTGCCATATATGCACTTAACTCATAAAAGACTTATTTGCCATTATACCCTCAATTCGAACAAATAAATCTAGCAAGTAAATATTTGCTAGTTAGATTTTGGATTTCACTAGATTTGACCACTAAGTTCTCTACTTG